TTAAAAATTCTAAATTCCATAATTAGAGGGTTGTAATATCATTTTTTGATGCATGATACTGTAGCAGCGTTGAGGCGCTTGGACACCAAACATTGAGGTGCTCAAATAGTAACATTTTTTCAAATTTTGCCAAAATTCACTCCAAATCCTTGAGACTCATTCTAGAACACATGCAAATGGGTTCAAAATTCAAAGGTTAAAATATTTACCTTATTTCAATTGGGTAAGAACGGGTTAATCCAGATGATGAACCTTTAGACTTCACATGTTTCTAGCATGGCAATCTAATGGCTTATTAGGAGGTTTCACTCTAGTGAAGCTTTTGCATGACGTACACTCCCGTCGGTGGTACGAGTGCACTCTACTGAAGTCATTGTTTTTGTGGAGGTTCCTTCGAGGGCGGATCCCCCTTGTGCTCAGGGAGGGCAATTTGGCCCCCACTTATAAAACTAAATAAATTATTACATGATTATTTTGGTATACAATGAGAAATAGTAAAGAGAATTCATCATTTATTTATTAATTTGAATTCCAAAAATAATTTGTTCCGGGGGCGCTGCCCCCTACATATCTGTGAAGCGTACGACGATCAAGGATATGAACAAATATCAAGTTCCTTTTTATTCAGAGGCCTTAGTTACTTTTGGTTGCTAAAAGATATCTTTGGCGATCATTTTTTTTATCTATTTTTTGTTGCTATTAATCCATTTTCTTGTCATAAAGGGTCGAGCTAAATTCGAGGCAATGCCAATAATTACTTATAAATCGCCCCCTCCCCCCCCCCCCCCAAAAAAAAAAAAAAAAAATTAAGGCCGGTTCCACCCTTGGGTTCCTCAAAAGAGGACCACAATTTTTTAAAAAACTATCTCATTTGGAGGGTCAAATTATGAAGAGAGTTTTCACTGGCCAAGGCGTCTCTATCATACTTGCTAATGCTACCATGCTGCCAACTAGGTCATTTGCACTCCGTACGCATGAAGCTAAAACTTCCTTACCTAGACGAAAGCAGCCCATAAGGCAAAAGAGAAAGTGTAACACTGATTTGTGAGTTGACTCTGCTGGGGAGAGTTGGAGAGGAGGTTGGGTGCAAATGAGTGAGGAGACTGACCACTGAGAGATGGAGAGGAGGAGAGGTTGAGCTTGTGTGAATAGGGCTCGGTGCGGGTTTATGCGTGAAGAGAAAAAATTGGTTAGTGGTTTTAGGATATATTATTATTATTATTGCTTAATACAAGTGGGCATCAATGACAAGGATGGCTGCAAGGATATGAGCGATTTTGATAGAGATAGATTAGAATAATATATATATGATTTTGTATTATAAATTATAAATTTAAGTAATATAACATAAAATATGAATCTACCTCTCACAGGATTTCTTTCTTTCTTATGAGTTTTGATGTGCATGCCATCGCCTCACATGCGGGCTAATTTAGCGTTTCAACCCGTGCTGCAACCCATGCAATATGATTGTCATTTCTAAATAACTTAGATGTTTCGGACCTGTCTGCATAGCCTACGCCGAGAATGGGTGGCTTCGCACAATGTTGCGTCCATAATTTGACGTTTTTTTACCTCATTTGCTTGAATCGAGGGCGAAAGATGTTTTTTCTGATATTTTCGAAGCTCCAAATACACTGGGGATGATCCTTTTCAGCAAGGAGTTACATATATATATAGATCAATAAATACTGACACAAATGATAATATATATGTATTTCAACAGTCTCATGAACCAGGAAATAAGATTGGACTTTTATATTTGAAGAATTAGATTAATTACCGTACGTAGTCTTTTCTTTTTAAAATTTTCATATAGAACTTTTATCTCTTTAATTTGCGTGTTTGCTAAGAAGTTACAAACTACGACAATGAATCCTCCAACTCCATCAATTTAAAGCTTGATTTATCTGTTGAACATGAACAATCATCTTTTTGGTATCTTCCTCAATAATTGTTTTTTATTGATTAATTGCGGAACGTAATGGGAAGTCTGAAGATGATTGATCAGAACTTAGAACTGAAAGGTGAGCTCATAGTGCTGCTTCCTTCCTTCCTTTTTGTAAACAAGTTGATGAGAAAGATTTGATGGCTGTATCTTTCATTGATGAATCGTTATCTTATTATTAGTTTTTTTGATATGTCCACACCATGCTGGCTATTTTCTCACTGTTATTAAATTGCAATTGTCTGTAATATTTGATGTCATGGAGTTTTCAGCATATATTATCTGCAGAGTGATGTCAAAAGGCTTTTGCTTTTATTTGTTAGCTTAGCTTTGTCTCTTCCATTGGTGCCTCTATTATTTGACTTGGAGTGTAAGATCAACATCACATCATTATCAGCTTTTTTATTTTGAATGATTAATATATAGATATATTGATTGCTCTCTAAAGTTTTTAATATGGCCATAATTATGATAGTTTCTCATTAATTAATCACCTAGCTATGTGGATGCTATTGATATTCACATATCCCATGAGTGACTTTTCAAGTCTAATTTCAACAAAAGCTATGCTTCTTAGTTCTTCAACGAAAATATTGATGCCATCAATATATTCTATCTCAAACTTTGTAACCATCATATTCCTAACTATACTCATGATATATAACATTTCATTAGAATGAAATAACAAAATTAAAGGTTGAAGCATTTTTAGAAGAGAAAAATGCTGTACCACAAAGTAAACAACAAAGGAAGGGAGAAAAACGAACAAAAATACATTAAAAGGGCACTAAGATGAGAGAAAATTTTAAAAAATAAATATTTAAATCATATAATGATGCATAAAAGATAAGGATGGTAGCCAATCATTTCCAAAGTCCAAATTAATACACCCACTCTCAATCAACGAAGATGCATAAAGAAGCCCATAAAATATATTTAACTTAGAAAGATCTTCTTCTTCCATAGATCATGGAACCCTACCCAAAAGTATATGTTTATGCATCAAGAATATTCCAAAAAAGTGTACCTCAATTAAAGGATATAGAAACTTAGGGCTAGAGAGAAATGAATTTTTTCATCTAATTTATAAACCCTAACCACCCGAATACATGTGCATCTGGAGTCAAATCAACGCAAAAAAAATAAAAATAAAATGAGGATCTCATAAACCCTAATAATCATGGTGCAAAATTGAGAAACTTCAATGCTCTCCCATGATTCTTGAAAGGGATTTGACAAATCTCAATAAATTGCAAGAATTCAGAGACGTCTTAGTATATAATTCATTGGAGATTTTAAAACAAATTATACATGGCACATATTTTTCATCCCATTAAATAAGAAATATTTCATATGCAATGCTTTAAAGATCTTATATATATATATATATATAAAAAAAGAAATTTAAAAATGAAATAGTTATAATATTTAAATTTAATTAAATATTTAAAATAGAAATATAAATTTAAATGAATTTTTCTCTCTCTCTATGTGTGAGCCTCTCTCTATTTCTATCTCTGAGTCTCTATCCATCTCTCCCTCTCTCCCTCTCTCTATCTTTCCTCTATGAATTGTGCACTGTAAATTTTATGTTTCTCTCTCAATTTAAATAATATTTAAAAGTTTATAAATCTTTTTAAAATATCTTACAAATATTTAATAGTTATAATATTCATCATTATTAAATATTTAAAATATAATTAAAAAGTTACTAAAAATTTTAAAGTTAACTAAAATATAATTAAATATTTACAATATAATTGAAAATTTACTAAAAATTTAAAGTTAATTAAACTATAATTAAAAAGTTATTAAAATTTTTGTTTCTCTCTCTCTCCTTCTCCATCATCTCTCTTTCTCTACCTCTCTCTCTCTCTTTCCATCCTCTAAGAAGCTGAAAATAAAAAAAAAAATTACAAATTTTAGCCGGAATGTAAAGCACAAATAAATTGAGTTTTAACAAAAAAAACATAATTACTGTTCACATTTTCTGTTAAAACATAAATTATTTATTTTTGCATTTTCAAACAAAATGTGATTTTACAGTGCATTTTTTATTCTTTTTAAATTAAATTTATATTTTATTCCTCCTAAATCTGTCTTGAAATTTGATCTTTTAAAAATTTGCTCCAAAACATCTTGATTGTTATACACTCCGCTTTGTTGCTGGCTTTGGTCTGCCCAATGCCTATTTTGTTTCCTTTTTGCAAATTCTGTTTGGCATTATCCCTTGCTTGGAAATTAAATTAACTTATTTTAAATCCCTAAATCCTATAAATTCATCTAGACCTTCAAATAGTGCAAACTCCAATCAAATTGTGGGTGGGACAATCAAACAATTCTTAATTTTATATCATTTCAATTTAATAAATCAAACATGATGAATAGGATTTCTCGGATTGGAATTGGTTTAGGGGCTGTTTGGTTGCCTGCAAAAGAAATGCAGAGTAAAGTAAATGCAATGTAAAGTAAATGTGATGCATTTCGAATGCTTTGCTTTGTTTGGTTGTCTGCAAAAGAAACGCAGGAGATTTGTTTCTCTTGTTTGGTTAGGTATATTCAGAGTAAATTAAAATTAACTTTTTTAAAATTATTTTTTACAAGGAAGAGAACTACCTTCAGTGAACACCATTGCATCTGCAGATCTACTGACTTATAATACTAAAGTCTTCTTCTATCATATGTAGCTTGTTAAAGTCACCGTATAGCTGCACAATTTTTCAAAGTCAATTTTGACTACGATATGTTGCAACTTTTGTTAACTTGCCGGAGCGAAGTCTCTCCGGAGCTGGAGCTGCTCGCCGGAGAGAAATCTAAATACGTGCAGCTAGCTGCCACGAATCTATTTAGTTTATGACTTTGGCCCTAAAATTTCAACACGGAAATTTAAATAAAAACTAAAAAGATTCAAGTTAAGTGCAATAAATTAAATAAAGGAAGGCCACTGTTTTCCCTACAAAGCTAGGTCTGTAACATTTAAATTTGAAATCACATTCGGAATCAAATCCTGCTTTTGAGTGAAATAGGCCGAGTTCAGCCCGGTTGCCCGATCCGACAGTCACAACCCTCTTACCATTCAAAGTTTTTTTTTTTTTTTGGGGAAAATAACTTTTCGTTTCTCGTAGTCGAGATCTTTCCAGGCCGTAGAATTTTGCAGAGAGGCCGTAGAATTTTGCAGAGAGGCAATGGAGGAGAGGCGGCGGCGTCGTAAGAGAATGAAAATAGGGGATCCATCTTCTGCTCCTCTTTACTCTTCTCTCGACCCATCCTTCTTCGACCTGAAGGTGTTTCCTTTGATGCTCGCCGCCGCTTCTGCAGCCGATGCCCAAAATCCCAGCTTTCGGTCACTCCTTAAACACTTCCTTTCCGCTCATCTAGCCCTCATAACCCCTACTACTCGCTCTCCACTGCCCCTCTCTATTCTCCTCCCTCCCGGCCTCCTCTCTCTTCTTCCCCTCCTCCTCACTTCTAGGTAATAAATTGGGAAAGTCTCTCCTTTATGGCTTTTCCCCTCTTTTTTATTGATTCTTTGCTTGCAAATTCATTTTTTTTAGGTTAACTCTTCTGGCATAATATGACAGTTTAATGAAATGCGTCCTTTTTTTTTTTTGCTCTATCTTGTTCTTCAGTTGCCCAGCTTTAGCTGTTCTGAGTGCTCAGCTGGTTGGCGCAGCTTCGCTTTTCTCTCTTGAGGCAAATTTAATTATAGTTTTAGATAAAGACATTGTTAATGGACTGCTAAGGGCACTAGTGAGCAGAAGCCGGCGGGTTGTAGTTGCAGCTTGCAATGCTGTGCTGGATCTCTCAGTATCTTCAATTGGAAGGGAGGCACTTAGAAGAAAATTTAATGTAATTGAGAAGCTTTTGTAAGTATCCCCACTGTTACCTTTTTAGCATATTCATTGGGGTTATATACCTAAAGTCGGTTTAGCTCATACTGTTTGGAAATATGACTAAGCCCAATTCAATCTCCCGGAGTGAAATGGATCATAAAAAATATAGAAGATTAATGCAAAAAAGTACATTAATAATTGTATATAGGTTCACCCAAAGATTTCCATGCCCCTTGCCACTGTTTTAGATTTTACTCTGATTTTATTGTGAAATTTTTTACCGTCCAAATTATCTTGAATACAACGTAAAGACTCTGAAGGATTTTACTCTGATTTTATTGTGAAATTTTTCACATTAATCTTCTTTATTAGTGAAGGATAAATAGTAAAGCATGTGGCTCAAATTCTTAATCTTGAAGAAACAAAATTTTCCCGTAGTCAATGGGCCATGAGTACTCTTATGTTTGCCATATGACTTCCTTCCCTTTATTTTGAAATTTTTTTTCCTCTCATCTCTATTTATTAGCTATTTTTTTCTCCACAAATTTTGATTTCCTGTAGATCTTTATTGTGTCAGGTGAATGACTCTCCAATAGATTTTCTTTCCCTTCTTCATGATGAAAAATGTGATTCTCCTCTACCATTGGTCCTTGATGCTGCATTGATTTTGATCAATACATCTGATGAAGGCTGCTTACAATGTATTCCATATGAACTTATTGAAAAGGTTTTACCTTTGCTGAAAGATTTATGGGAAAATTCGTGTAACTCAGAACTAACAAATAACTTAAATATGGAGCAAGGCCGTTTGCATAGCAAAAAGTATGATCTAGCCGCTTCTTTGTTTAGATTGTCTATGGACTATGTTCTCCCTTTAACTTGGAAAACTGATGAACTTGTAAGGGGTATCTTTGGTGATGAACAATTTGCTTTTGAGAACTTCATACTCAACTACTGGGAGGTCTCCCCACTGCATATCAATGGGACATGGAATAGTTTGAAGGGTGATCATTCTATCTTCAACTCGTTGAGTAATTGTTTTGGTTACATGAAAGATAAAAATTTTCTTGCCTCTTTATTAGGAATGTTAGTTTCATGCCCTCCTATTGCGTCAGATGAGTTGGACATCTTCTCTTTTCTCAAGGAAGCAAATAATTTGTTAGGTTCTCAGATCATTTATGGTCAAGATATTCGTATCCTAAAAACATCAAAGATTACTTCAGAAGCCATGCACGAAATTGTTGGCAAAGAGGCTCACTTTTTTAAGGATAAGTTAACAGATGAATTAAGTGTTCAGACATTTAAGGAAGCATTGCAAGATGGTTATACAATTGCTTTGCGTGGAATGGAATTCAGGAATACTGAAGTTGCTGCAATTACTGAAGGGCTATCAAATTTATTTGGTCAGCCATCAGTTGGGGCTAACATATACCTCACACCTCCTAAATCTCAAGGTCTGGCTAAGCACTATGATGATCACTGCGTGTTTGTTTGGCAAATATTTGGACAGAAGCAATGGAGAATTTTCCCACGCTCTGAGGCCTTTATCCCGAGGCTTTATGAACCTCTTGGTTCTCTGCAAAGTATGAGTCAAGATGAAGTTAGATACATGGATGTTCTAATTAAAGAAGGGGATGTTTTGTATATTCCAAGAGGATATCCCCATGAGGCTCATACAATCATCAATATGGATGAGTCTCATGAGGACTACGCTAGTGGATATTCCATGCATTTGACGATTGGAATTGAAGTTGAGCCACCATTTGAGTGAGTATATATATGGTACTTGTTAATTTAATATTCTACGAATTATCTAAGGGTCATAATACTCTTTAAGATTTCTTTCAAAGATTTTGACCAACTATAGTGAGCCCGATACCTATATATTTATTTATTTTAGGGCGTTTCTGTTTTATTGTTACCCTATTAGTTATGCAGCTGGAAATTTTCATCCTTCTCTAATTTCATTGAACTCTCAATACATGTGACTGATTCATCTCCATGTTTTTCCTTCTTTTTTTTTGCTAGTGTTTACATGTAACCAGATTGTTTCACAATTTATCATAAATTGTTGATGCATGCTCTTTATTTTTGTAGAAATCAATTTTTGTTTGATGTTCTTTATCCCATCGGGCAACACCTGTTTGTAATTAGTTCGTGACCTAATTCAAATTTTTCACAGACCTCAAAATAAGAAAGGAATGGCCCAAGTTTCAATCTTTTACGGATCTACGTAACAAAACAAGGAAACCAGGAAGAAAAATGAATTAAAGATGCCACCCGCTTGCATGAGTACAACAAAATACAGAGATCACCGTGCAAAGCCAGGAAAACCTTTGCTTATCTCTGACAGCATATTAGAAAACATAAAATATTTGTTTCATTGTGGTGCTAGTACATGTATATCTATATAAAGATAAGAAAAAATATAAATTCCTATAGTAAATGTTAAATAGATGTGATAAAATTTATTGGATAATATCTTTGTACATAACAACCCTATTAATTCTAAAAAATGTATGGTTGAACATTGGCTTTCGCAGTGTTAAATTCCTTTATGATTGTAACTGCTTTCTGCTACACAAGTGTTTAGAAACTTTGAAAATGCATTTGTCTGGATTTACTTTGATGAATGCTAATGGTTGATTTTATTTTTTCAGCTGGGAAGGTTTTACTCATATAGCTATTCATTGTTGGAACCAGAAACAGAAACATAGTTCTATTTATCCCATTGATTCCGAGATGTTCAAACAGAGGTCTGTACTTGTAAATATGTTGCATGTTGTAGTCAGGCAGATGGCTGATAAAAATACAGAATTCAGAAAGGCTTGTCTGATCACCTCCCCTCCTTTCTCATCCAATATCAAATTGAAGCAGGAAACTACTTTTGATCACATAATCGAAGCAATTAACAAAAGCTCCAGCTTTTCAGAGACGTTTGATCTTATTGTAACTGCAGTTCAAGAGAATAATGAAGATTATTTGCAGTGGATGAGATGGCTTAGACATCTGCGTCAGGAAAGATTTGAGAAATTAGACTTTGATAGACCATTGGAGTTTTTCAAGGAATTTGTGTTGCTGAATTATAGGCCTTTCAAGGAAGTGATGGCTGAGTTTTCTCAGGTTAAGTCTGACTTCTGTAGATCTGTTGTATTTGAAGATGCAGCTGCTGAGCTGAATGTGTTGCTCCAAAAATACAGGAAAACTAGAGAACAATACATGAAGGGTATGCTTTCACTACGTAGAACTACATAGCTGGGATTGTGAATTTATTTTAGATAGGCATTCTTCTGTTTGTTTGCTTTTTTAATGTTAAAATATCAAGTATATATTTATGTTATGTAGGTTTATTGGTTTAATAATTGAATGATTATGTGCTCTTGAAAAATATAGTAGATCAAATAGATTTTTTTTCTTAGTGATGCTTCACTTACTAAATAAGAAAAAAGAATGAGTGCAGGAATGCTCTTAATCCATTACGAGTTTAAAAAGGCACAAATATTTATTGACTAAATGAAGTAGCACTCACGCACCAACTAATCTAGCTGATATCCTTATTGAGGGCTACAATTCAACAATGGAATGAATGTTGTGCACTAGGAATTATTCTCTTTAACAAAAGCAATCCACGAAACGATGGGATTGGTTCTATTGAGGGTAGTGTCAGAGAGAGAAAGAGGAGAGAGACTGCCAAAAGCACCTTGTGAGTAAAGGCCTGGAGCCCAGGCATGTATATAGAACATGGCCCACTGCACTCATTGTGCTTTCTATTAACCCACTCAATAGCAAACCAAGGATCAACCATCAGCTCCTAAACCTATTTAAACTCTGAAAAAAAATTAATTAAAAATTAGCTTATTATTTGATAAAGAACTTTGTAATGTTATCATTAAGATATTGAATTTGAAATTCATCAACATTAAACTTGTCTTGTATATATATATATAACAAAAAATGAGGGAGAGAATTAGAAAGATTATCAAATAGAGATGCACAACAAACCTTAGTAGATAAACACAATGAAACTTTGCAGCAATGAAGTTGTATATGTTGAACTAACAAGAAATTCAAGAAGAAGAATAAGAAGCAGAAGAAAAGAAAACCAAAATTTCTTTTTTCTTGCTCAGTCTTCTTCTACTTATCTTCAAAGGTTGTGCAATGGATTGGGACCTGTGGGAACTACACGCTTGTCATCTTCCAGCAAAGAGCTTGAATTCTTTAAGTCATTATGGGGAAAATGGCAATCAAAAGGATCACACCGCCTCTTAGTTTTGCATCCATTTGTACCTTCGGTTGTGAGAGTAGTGGCGGTGTTGGCGGCTGAAGTACTGATCTGAGGCCTTATGCTTGACACAAGGAGAAGGAAGGCTACTACGGCTGCTGGAGCCCGTCTCATTGTGATCATGGCTGGATGGTTAGGCTGAACAAGGAGAGAAGCGGCCAAGTTGCAGAACTTTTTAATTAACTGGAGAGATGAAGAAGCTCAGTAATTACCTCGACATGAGAACAGAAGAGGGGGGAAATAAAGGGAGGAATGGGAGGTGAGAATATGAGAAAAGACTGGAGTAGGAAGGAAGTAAAACTTAGGTGGGGAATGAGCCTATTTATGATTCAGTGCATTAATACGAATAACTTGATAAAAAATTCTTGTATCTTATTAAAAAATAGAGGACACAGATTAATAAAGACATATTTCAACTATATATTTTATTATGTTCCTTCATTCTCATCATCATTATTTGACTTAATTCATGACATGCATATTTGATGATATATTTATCATTTATTTATTTATGTATTATTCTCAATTAAACGTAGAAAAATATGATTACCGTGTCCTCAATGTCCTTTATATATATATATATATATATATCAATCCAGGCAATAACTAAGGTTCCTCCGATTTGCAGTTCTATCAGTGATTCCACCTAACTCCATTAATGGACCTTAAATTTTCTTTCCATAGAGAGAGGAAGAGAGACAGCATATCCTATAGAAAGCAGCACATAGAAAGTGGGGCAAAAAATGGAAACTCTCTTTGCTGCTTCACAACATTCCATTCCCCCCTATCTACCTCGTTATCTCTTGTTGAAGAAATAATCTTCTGAAAGCAATATAGGGAATTAATGCTAGCCCACGTGCTCCTGAAAAAGTTTTTAAACTGATATATCTTCTTCTTCCGTGGAGCTCATCTTGATATGTTGGTTGAGAGTGTAGGCTATCAACCAAAAGATTTTGTATTCAAAACTTGCATGTCTTATGTGTGTGCATCTGCTTTTATCATATTTATACTAATATTCTTTCATAGTCAAAACTAGGATTGCCTTCCAAAATTTGCTTCACAAGTCATCTCAATTTGTCAAAGAAGTTCTAAGGAGAGTACACTATTCTTTTATTAGATTTTAGTGAGTGTGACATCTATTTTAAGAAGTAAAAAAGAAGATAAAAAAATATGAAATATAATAAACTGATTGGTCGAGAGTGTTAGATAGAGGATGGTTATATCTATAAATATAAATGTCAACTTACTATCCAAGTTGCTAGTTTTTAAAGGTATGTGGTATTTTTGCATATGTTGTTAAAGAAAAGCTTATTTATGATGAAAGAAATTAAAGATATATATATTACTTGAAGCTTCTTAATGTACACAATATAATATATAATAATGTTTTTGTTAAAAATTTTCAAAGAAAAAAAATTATAGAACATAAACAAACCGAATATTTTTTATTATTTTATAAAAAAATTAGCAAAAAAATGATCTTCCTCGTAGTAGTTAGAGGGACCTTATATAATATGACCCTTAGGAAGTCAGATAATTAGGTATGATGAGAACTAGGATAGTATTTCACATTGTTAGTTGTAAAGACCACAAAAGTATGTGATGTTTAGGTTGAGATTATTCTCGAAAAATATAAATAATAATCATATATCTAAGTGGTATCAAAATAAACTGTGGCGTGTTGTTTCTTTAGATAATAAGATAAGAGCAATCATTTCACCGTACATTATAATATAATATATAAGATGCTGCTGGCATGATGAACAAGATGCATGGTTATTAACAATAGTACAACATTCATCATCTGGGAGGAGAAATTGTCTCTAGCACTCTGCATTATTGCAAAAATGTACCTGAATGGATGAAAATCAATAGTTGGCATCAGTCAAATTAGTGATCTGAATATGCAATATTTTGAAAGACAACCTCATGTTTACATTGATGATGATAACTTAAAATATGTCTAATACATAGATGATGACCATCAAATACAATGAATTAAGCATGATTCCATTCTAAAAGTCTAGAGATATGTTCTTTGAACTAACATTTATGTTTGATTGAATTAAAATTTTCAATCAGGTCCCAAGTCCTGGATGAGAAAAATGGAGGGTTGTGTTGGGTAGTCGATAATCATCGTAAAATTTGTCGAATAATCATGACATGAATCCTTTAATACATTTTCTGCTTTATGGCACATAATGTTGGCCATTAAAAGAGAAGCATAATATTAAGCTAAGTGTTGTAGAGATGAGGATTCTCAAGTGGATGAGTGACTTTACTGTTAGAGACATGATATGAAAGGAGCATATATGTGAGAAGGTTGGAGTAGCTCCAGTGGCAGATAAGACTAGAGAGAGTTGCCTTAGATGGTTTGGTCACATGAAACGACGGCCTTCTGATGTCCCAATTAGGATAGTAGATGTATTAGATTTAACCTATGTTAAGAAAGATAGATGTAGACCTAAAAAGACTTATTTAAAAAATATAAAAAATGACCTTTCTTTATTAGATCTAAATAAGAATTTGACTCTTAACCGGACAAAATGGACAAAAATGATTTATGTAGCCAACTCCACAGTGGAATAAAGACTTGATGTTGTTGTATTGCACTATTGCCATTAATTTTTATAAAAACAAGTAGTGCCTGTGGGAGCACAAAGGGGTCGGCATTAATGCCGAACAAAGCATTCTATTGCAATGCTTAGACCAACAGCAGGAAAAGAATCTTCATTTAAGAGCAATTCTGAGCTATGCTGTAAAGACTCATTTGGTTCAACTTTTCTATCTGCAAAAAGCCGACACAAAATAAATGCACCATATTTGAATAAAAATAACATCAATAGAATTTTGAGAAAAGCAGCTGTTTTGCAGATGTCCATAAATTGCTTCATAAAGCAGCTTTTCAAAAGCGACTTCTCCACCGTAATAAGCCAACTGTTTTGCAAAGTTTCATTATCTCTTGAAATCTGAAACTTTTAGAAGGAAATGAAGCTCTTTACCTCAGCAAGTTCCTTTTACTTCTGCTCGTAGACTCATTAAGATAGGGAGACAGAAAATAGCACGCAAATCAGGACAAAATACTTGCAAATCAGTAGAAAATTGAAACAAAAAACCATCATGTTGCATAATGCATAGCTTGGAAATAGAATACAAGAGAACAATAAATTAGGTTGAGCTTATTTCTCTTCCAGGACAATAATTGCATTAATCATATATCATTAGAAGTGACATGCAGTGCTCTTTTGTGAATCATAACTCGGCCAATTGAAAAGTGTGGCAGTTTCTTCTCCCAAGGAATGGGACTGTCAAAATTGCTCAATCAATCAGGCTCAAGCATCTCATATAAAGAATTACCATTACATAAGACTGATAAGAGATTCCAAAATGAAGAAAATGTGTTATTTGGGGTTATTTTAAAAGAGAAGTTCTTCTTAAATCTTCTTTCTCTCTGCACTCATACATTTTTTTTTTGCTAAAGTAACCTTTTCTTGGACACTTTCATCATTATCATATATAATTAACTTGATCTGAACTATTTATCATCAACATTATGAATCCTAAATTTGGTATATGGTACTCTCAACTACTAGTATACAAGAAAAAAAATGATAGAAGCAATGCTACTTATAATTGACCCATGCTTATTTCATGGATGAGCAATAGGAGCAATAGAACATGGCTTTGTGGGAAAAGCTACAGTCCAATAAATTGTGCTCTTAGGGCCTCTCCAACTGAAATGCTCAATTTTCACTTGAAAATGCAGTAATACATCAAAATGCAGAAACCCATCTCCAATTGAACTCCATTTTCTAACATCAAAAAAATGATATTCATAGTATATTCTTTCCCATGCTTTATTTTATACATTTTTAATTATATATTTATATTAAAAAAACATATAACAGGTGAACAGTGTGACGGTGTTCATCTGCAAGCAAATAGCAGAAAGTTTGGCGTTCGGTTGGAGCGATCGAATAACGTCACACACATATTTGTTGTTCGAGTGAAGAAGGCGTTAAAATTAGCCTGATTCCCACAAATAAAGGTTCATAAAAATGGTCTAGAAATTAAATGAAAGCCATCTACCTACATGGAATATGCAATTAAATGTTATTAATATGATCGGCTAAAGAACTATAGTTTTTAAGCATGAAAAAGAAGCCCAATACAAAAGTTTACAAGCACAATGATTTTCTTATATATTCAGCTCATGCTTGATTCTTTTTCAGTTTTATGTAATGGTTCAATTTCCAAGCAAAAGTGCAAATATTTTTCAATTTATATGAATCCACGCATACATCTAACAAAATACAGCTGCAAAATATTGTAATAAAATATTTTAGTTTAGACTACGCATATATAGGGGCAAAGCCTTGCCGTGAAAGAAATCAAGATAATATCATTTCATGTGGGATGCAGCTAGGTGCTTGTTGAAAGGGTTTTCAAGAGCAGCCAAGTCTTTGGGTACAATAAGATGAGAATGAAAAGCCCAAAATAGGGTTACTAGAATTTTTTGTAGAGGCTCATCTAAGGAGCTCCCTAATTTAAAATTGTATATAGATAAAATATTTTGATTTTCTTAGACAGTTTTTATTTTTCAAATCTCAATCATAATTTTTATTTGATCATTATTTTTATCTCACTTTTAAAAAAAATTTGTACTAAGACTACAATATGTTTTAAAAAGTTATGTATTTGCAATAATTTTATAAAAAAATAAAAATAGGATTCCAAATGAAACATTTTATCTTAAATTTATATTAATACTTAAATTTATTATTTTTAAGCATAGCCAGAGAGGTCTGCTCTAAGCGGAACGTCCAAATTGGGTTTTTCATCGTGTTTAAGGGGTGTCAAAATCTGACTCGACTCAAACCTAACACGAAAAATTATGGGTTCGTGAAAACATATTTGCATTATGGGCTGGGTTCGAGTTCAATATTTTGATATGTTTTTTTATAATCAAATCCGGTTTGGATTGGCCCGACAACCCAGGTTTGACCCATGTCTCGTCCGCATAGGGTGTCCAAGGGTTTGTGTTTCACTTAGCAGCTCGAGTGCTCGATCCCGCCAGGCCGCCCTTCATGCCTCGGCCTCACATTCTCACCTGCAATCCTACACGTTGGTTGCTAGCCTCGTTCGGACGCCCGGTTGCCCTACACGTTGGCAGTTGGCCTCGCTGGCCCCACACCTGCAGTCAAGTTGGCCCTCGCCCAAGTTGCATGCGTATCGCGCCAGCATTCGGGTTCGCATTTTACAAACAGGTCGCGGGTCGAGTTGGGTAAATCCGATAATCCGTACGGGTCAGATCCGGGTTGAAAATCTTGATCCGTTTGTAAAATTGAATCGAATTCAAGTTGACACATTTAGTCCCGCATCAACTTAGGTTCGACCCTTTTTGATTTTAGCGGTGTTATATTACTGTCTTCGACGCCTTCTGTGTCCGACAGTACTCGAGTCCAAGTTTCGTCTATTTCAGTTATCCGCCCGCCGTCTATCTTGCTAAGTTTGAGAAAGCGAGAGGGGTGATGGGACAGTGACGGCAGGGGGTGAGGAGGGGGAGCCGAGAGAGTGAGTGAGAAGGTAGGAGGAGAAACGGACAGGCTTCAGGTAGGAGATCTGGGATGTCGGAGGCGAAGCCGCTTGTGGAGCTTTGTAAGGGGGTCAATGGCCTCGACAAGATCGTGCTAAGAGAAGTCAGGGGAAGCTCGGCAGAGGTGCGTTGTCCTCTCTTTCTCTATTTAGTTTTCTGGCTTATCTGTTGTAAATTTGAGATCCTGGGTTCTTTCTTAGGTCATAATTTGAGTATTTTTGTACCTGTTGTGCTGATTGTTGGATTCTTTGATTTGTATACTCAATTGATAATATTTACCTTAGCATCCCCGTTTCTATCATGAATTTTGGTCATCGTGGGATTTATTATTTAATTGTCCGTGCTGGCCATTCACATGGCTATAGAAAAGTTAGGAAGCTGTTTCTATTGCCGAATTTCTCATGTAGGATTTGAAGATTTATCTTCCGTGGGGGGAAAAAAAAAATACTAGTTGAAGACTGCGGTTGTGAGGTCGTTCGTTTAGGTTTTGTTTTTCTGGGTTGAAGGAAATAACACTTCACTTAAATCTTGTCAGATCTATAGGCAGATCTCGAGAAGACCACAAGCAACGAATTTTTTTGCATTTATCATACCCAGCAGTAGGTAGATGTTGAAACAGGGAAATGCGATTTTAGGAGCTAAGATCGTAAGATGATTTCTAACGTGTGTTTCCATTGCGACTGAACTTGGAAGCAAGACATAATTTTACAGAGAAACGAATAATTCGGTCATGAGGCATATTTTTGGCTGCATGTAGTGTTTAAGGCATATTGTAACTTTCGACCTTCCTTTTATTTCCATGTTTCCTGAAGTTTATCATTGTTGATGCAACCTAAGTTCTAAAATCAAGTAGGAGAACACTAGGTATGCAAATAAAACACTTCCCTTCAATTTCACATAAACAAACACCAAAATGGTGAACACTTAGTAGAAAACTAATATAAGAAATTTTGTTAGGAAGTCACATAAGAAAGAACAAATAACAAAACACATAAAACTATAAACCCTCAGAATAATCACGAATGGTCACCTACTCACCTCACATGCAAACACAAACTAGGGAAGGTGCTCAAAGGAAAAGACAAAACACTATGATCCAACACAAGACTTTTCTCCTCCGGCAAACACCAGAATAGGGCACATCACCACTTACTACTCATAATAGTTTAGAGAAGAAAGATATAGGTGGAAAGAAAATCGTGGAGATAAGAAGAAGAAAGGAGACCAAGACGAAGAAGTAGCGGGAAGGTAGAAGACGGCTCACAAGCTTAGAAGAAATCCTCGGGTTTAAAATGATTATCTCACAATAGTTTAGAGAAGAAATATACATGTGGAAGAGAAACCGTGGAGAGAAGAAGTAGAAAGAAGACTGAGATGAAGTAATAGGGGATAGGGAGAATACCTGCTCGCAAGCTAACAAACCCTCAAGTTTACATTTTTTTCTTTAAAAAAACTCCTTTACCACAATGAAATTCAGCCAATATGTATAGGAGAAAAGAAAGAGCATTTAAATGCTCACATAAATGTGCCCCCAAAACAACCAATAAAAATCACCCAAATCAGCCTACAAGTGGAGAAGCCAAAGCATTATGCATAGGAAGACAACAAGTGGAAATTCGAGCAGCCAGCAATAGGGAAACTGAGTGGACAACAACAGGGAAACCGAGTGGGCAGTAGGGAAACCGAATAGCCAGTTGGTAAAAAAACAAAAAAACCATCAATCTAAGGGAAGGAATGGGCCAAGCCCAATAAGGAAAAGAAATAGCCCACAAAAAATCACCCAACCAGCCACTAAGGAACAAGATCAACATAAGTGGAAAACAATAGTGTAAACTAACTTGAGAGCACCAAATCCAGCATGATCATGGGTTTTTTTCCATCATAGGGCATTATAAAATAAAACTACAAAATAAAACATAGCAACAACAACAGCAACAACAACAACATCAAGCCTTTGTCCCACTACGTGAGGTCGGCTACATGAATCCTTTTTCGCCATTGTGTCCGGTTAAAAGTCAAATTCTCATCTAAATCTAATAAAGAAAGATCATTTCTAATATTTTATAACCTAGTCTTTTTAGGTCTACCCCTACCTTTTTTAACATAAGCCAAATCTAATACCTCAACCTTCCTAACCGGGTCATCGGAAGGCCTCCGTTTAATGTGACCAAACCGTCTAAGGCGACTCCCTCTAATCTTATCTTCCACTGGAGCTACTCCAACCTTTTCATGTATATGCTCATTTCGCATCCTATCTCTAAGGGTCAAGCCACTCATCCACCTAAGCATCCTCATCTCTGCAACACTTAACTTAGTATTATGCTTCACTTTTAATGGCCAACATTCGGCACCATAAAGCATTGCAGGTCTCACCACCATCTTATAGAATTTTTCCTTAAGTTTGAGGGGGACTTTTCTATCGCATTATAAGCCCGATTCATTCCTCCACTTCAACCATCCAATTTGAATTTTGCTGATAATATCCCCATCAATTTCACCATCACTCTGAACAATAGATCTAAGATATCTAAACGTGTACTCTTATTAATGGTTTGATCGCCCAAAGTCACAATCCCCTCACTAGGTCTATTTCCACTAAAATTACACTCCATATATTCAGTTTTATATCTACTCAAGCGAAAACCTTTAGACTCTAAAGTTGACCTCCATAATTCAAGTTTACCTTCAACTCCCTCTCTAGTCTTATCAACAAGAAGAATATCATCAGCATGCACCAAGGTACATCCTCTTGCAAATGTCTAGTGAGAACAAAATAAAACATAGCGTTCAACAAAAAAACACAAAATATAAATCCTTGACTACATCAATTGTGTAGACTTTCCATTCAAGTAGCTTGGGCTGATGCTGTTAACTTAGCTTTACTATCATCTTAGGTTTGGCTGTTGTTGAGCTTTTTTTTTATATTGGTTTTTAATATATCTGGATGGAATGATGAAAAAATGGTCAAAACTTGAAAATTCGTCTCTATTGCCAAATGTCTATTGCAGTAATAACAAACCAACATGCATTCGCTCATGTGGTATTGTCCCCGCCCCAAAGAGTGAGGTGAGGGGTTCACTTTGTGTGATTTGAAGGCCTACTAGTGATATACATAGAGAACGAAAAGAACAAATAAATGAAAACAACACAAAGAAACCTTAAATTTAAAAGAAAGGAGTTTGAAATGAAGGAAAAAGAAGAATAATATCTCGATACTTGATTGGATAGATTTGTGAAATGAATCCCAACTCCTACATGTAGTAGGATCTATGGGATATAAAGACTAAAATATCCATTATTATGAAATGAATGTAAAACAAAAACAAAAACAAAAACAAAAACACAAGTTTTTAAAATGCTCCACTTACATGAAGATATACACATGACAATCTTGATACTTATAATCTAAAAATCGATAAAAGATAATGTCTTCATCATCTTGTCATATTTCAGATTGTTGGATGATGTTGCACTAATGTAGGGGACACAAGTGCTGCATCAATTCTTAAGGGCAAGAAGAACCCGCTTTAGAGAATGAAAATTGGAGCAGGGAGTCATCTTCTTTGTGTGATTGTGAGCTGATCAGGAGTCTCTCATGCATGCGTGTGAGAGAGAGAGAGAGAGAGAGAGAGAGAGAGAGAGGCCTTCAAGTCGACCAAGAGCGAAAGGAGATGCAATCAAGTCTCTTGTGTTTAATTTAAGTTTATTTTTTTATGATTCCTATTATTGCTTATAATTATCAATTGTTTGAGTGCCATCTTTGTTGGTTCTCAATATATATATTTTGGCTCTTTTAGGTTATCTTTGAACATTGTCGTTGTCAGATCTTAAGGTCTAGATGAGAAAAGTTGAGGGTTGCATTAGGTAGTCGACAACCAGCGTAAAATTTATCGAATAATCATGGCATGAATCATTCAATACATTATACTAATGCTAGGGCGTTCCTTGTAAATGATGTATTGTATGGCCTGAATACAGTGACAAATGTGCAAGAGGCGCTGCACCAGTCCCCGGGTGCAGTGTTAAATAGGCACGAGTTCCAACATCATGGACGGATGTGGACAAAGAAGCTAGTCCATGAAAATTAAAATTAAGATAAGAACTTGGAATATAGGTTCTCGTACAAGCAAATTAATGAAATTAATAGATATTATGATTCATATGAAAATAAATATTTTATGCATTCAAAAAATTAAATGGATATGAGAGAGGGTTAAGGATATTAATAATTGAGGATTTAAACTATACTATTCTGGTAGGAGTCATACTAAAAATGGTATAGATGTGATTATAGATAGGAGTTTGAAGAATAATGTTGTAAAAATTAATAGAATTGATGATAAAATTATAGCTTTAAAAATTGTTGTTGATGATAAGATTATTAATATTATGTTCCTCAAGTATGTTTGGATATATGTTTAAAATTAAAATTTTAGAATGACTTAAAAGAATTAATACAAAAAATACTTTTTAAAGAAAGAGTTTTATTGTAGGAGATTTAAATGACATGTTGGTACTTGGTAGAGAGGTAGATGATTTTAAAAGCATTCATGATGGTTATGAGTTTGGAGCGATTAATGAAGGTGGTAAGACCATATTAATTTTTTTTTAGTTTATGATTTTGTAATTGCTAATATCTTATTTAAAAAAAGAGATGAGTATCTCATCACTTATAAGAATGGATATAGTAAAACACGGATTAATTATTTTCTTATAAAAAAATAGATTGTTTAGATTGCAAAGATTATAAAGTTATTCCAAATGAAAGTTTATGTACCTAATATCACTTATTAGTTTTGGACTTTAAGATGAAGGTGCAGAAAAAAAAGAAAAAGTAAAACATTGTTCTAGGATTAGATGGGGGCATTTAAAAAATACCAAAAAAATAAATTTGAGAGTAAAATTCTAGTTCTTAAGATTTTATCTGTGCATGAGAAAGCTAATGTTATGTAGAAAAAAGTAGCTACTAATATTAAGAATATTACAAAAGATTTGCTTGAAGTATCAAAGTGAAAGCTCCTAATAGTAAAAATAGTTTGTGGTGAAATCAAAATATGCAAGAAAAGATAAAATTAAGGAGATTTGTTATAAAAAATTGATTTAGATGTAAAAATGCTGATAATT